GTGTACCTGGCCACAAAACGGACAACAGCACATTAGTAAAAACACATCCGTAAATAAATAAATAAGAAATCAACTTAAAGTTGAAGTCTTTCCGATGCAGGCCTAAGTAAAATGGCCGTAGGGCCTCCAGCTTGCGGTGACGCGACCTGGGGGCCCTTATCCAACCTCGGGTCCCGTGAGGGGCCCGTGTGGAGGCTCTCAGCATGTAACAAGAGTTTGCAGCAGCACCAAATTACCCACAATGCAGCCATTTTGACAGTTTCCATGGGCCGGATCTGGCGTTCGCCAAGGCCCCTCACCGTATGTCCCACCAATGAACCCAATAATGTCCATGCAACATGCCGGCGGGGCCATGGGAGGTTATATTGAGCGGCCAACTCCCTCCATGTGGTAAAAAAGGTGTCCACCATCGGGCAGTGCAGAAACAAGTGGTCCATTGTCTCATCACATGCCCAACAAACGGGGCACACTTTGTCCTTCTGACGACTTCTTGCCGCCAACCACTCCAAGGTGGGGACGGCCAAGTGCGGGATGAGCCATAGCAGAGCAACCTGGCGCTGGTCCGGTAGTGCCTGTACTACGTCCAGTATGCCCTCCCCTCCTTCGTTGTCCAAGAGTCAAGTTCATCGTCCAATATTCACCCCTGCTTAGCCCACCAAGCCTTTAGTTCCACCCCATGAGTCCCAGTACTATTCCAGCCGAATGGCGCTTGGCTTCCAAGTTCGGATGGGATCGGGCGCATTAGCCGTGGTATAACCGTTCCATAAAAATTGGACAATTTCTCGATTTATGTGTGTCATCCTTGCGCAGGTGCCATGCTAGTCTTCTCTGTATCGTTCCAATTTTTAAGGATGTCTCCAAGGACAGGCCTGTCTTTTTGCCCATCCTGTATGGGGCCATCTTTTTGGCCTATCCTGTAAGTGTGCCTACCAGTAAACAGGCCCATCTTTTTGGCCATCGTGTGAGTGGGCCAATCTTCTGGGCCTATCATGTACAGTGGCGTTTGGCCATCCTGTGAGTGTACATTGGCGTCGAGCCAAAACGTTTGGGCCTGGTGATACCAACAGGGAGCAAGAATATGCAAACTTTTGCCACAACGCCACCATAGTTTTTTAATTATCTTTTAAAAAGAATTAATATGTCTGTGAAAGGGTTGCATATCTCAGTCGTTGTCCCGAGTCCCAGTCCCAAAGTCCCAATGGTCCCAGTCCCACGAAAAGTAACTGATTCGGCAGGCCTAGTGGGCGAAGTGCCAAACTCAGGTCCAGTAGTTTGATAGTCCCAGCGGGATGATAGAAAGTCTTAGGTCGTTAGGAGTCGAACAGGCCCGGGACCACAAGAAAGTCGAAGACCCATACAAATGCAAGAGGGAAGAGAACATTCAGCAATGGGAGGCGACCGTGAGAACCTACTTGTGGGCCCAAAGGTCCTTACAGGGGCCGAGTGACAATAGCGGAATCATGCCTGGGTAGGGATGAAGCAGCGGGTATGGGAGAGACTTGGTGCGGTACTTCAACATCGCCGATTTGGACGAGTTTCTGCATGGATTGTTTGACCGATTTGAGGACAAGAACTGTGCTAGAAAGAAGGAATGGCTAATCCTAAATAAAGAATGGAGACTACAGAGAGTGTGGAAGTGTTGAAGGTCACCATGGATGAGCTGCTCCAGGTCAAAGACCATGGAGTTACCCCCCAAAAGATTCTGACCCACTTCACAATGGCCCTGCTCGAACCCTTCAAATCATGGTTGTACGGTAAGTCTCAGCAACCGGGATAGATTTATGAAGCCTTTGTAAGTCTGCATTAGAAAAGGCTGGTTTCGTGAGTCAAGCCACCTTCCATTTCTACAAGGACTTAGAAAAGGTGACGAAATAGAAGTTAAGACCATTTCCGGTAATGTTCAAGGAAATGATAGTCTTTTATTGACTTCCGAGGGAGGTGGGATAGCGGAATTGCCCTACGAACAGAGTAGAGGAGGGTGACAGCGAAGTAGTCCAGGGAGGGGATTATGTGACTTCCGAGGGAGGTGGGATAGCGGAATTGCCCTACGAACAGAGTAGAGGAGGGTGACAGCGAAGTAGTCCAGG